TGTGTGTGTGTGTGTGTGTGTGTGTGTGTGTGTGTGTGTGTGTGTGTGTGTGTGTGTGTGTTAGGACTCACCCAGAGGGTCGTGCCTCAGCAGAGCCCCGGTGTAGCCCCCCATGGAGCGGTGCTGCTGCGGGGGGAACGGGTACACGGAGCCCGGGAAGCCCCCTCCCGGACCGTAGACCGTCAGAACCGGGTGGATCGGTGTGGGTTCGTAGATCGGAGTCCGGTACGGAGAGATGAGGCTGAAGGAGGAGTTCGGGGACGGCAGGGTCGGTGTCGGGACCACCGGAGAGGAGCAGGAGGAGGAGGAGGGTCTCAGGATGTCCTCGATGTAGAAGGGGGTCGGGTGGGCCGGCTGGACCGGGGTCGGGGCGTACAGAGGGACGCTCATCTCCCAGAACTCCCTGGGTCCGGATCGGAAACTTCTGCTCCAACTTCTCCACGACACAAACCCGACTGGGACCGAACTGGGACCAGGATCCCGGGCCGCGTAGGGGTCTGTTACTGAGTCCCGGAGACCACCATCAGGGTGCTGAGGTCTGGAGCCGAACCTGGTCCAACTGTCGGTGCTGTTATCTGCCGGGGGGAGGAGGGGGGACAGGGGGAGGGACTACTTCCTGCAGGTGGTCGCTTCTGATTGGATCCGAACCAGGTCCGGACTGAAGGAGACCCGGCTGGTCTCAGACCACCCGAACAGAACCGAAACCTGAAGAAAAACAGGTTGGAACAAATCTGGATTATTATTATTATTATTGTTGTTTTTGTTATTATTGTTATTATTATTATTATCAACAATAATAATAAAACTATTTTATTATTATTGTTGTTGTTGTTGTTGTTGTTGTTTGTTTTGATCAAATCAAATGTTAGTTTGAATCAAACGTCAGTCTGACAGTGTCAGTCATTCACTCACTAAAACTAATTCATTCATCCAGTACAAACTGAATATTGTCCTGATAAAAACATCTGTTCTGATCACAGAACTGAACCTTCAGACATGATTTACTTTGTAATCTACATTTCTTTTTGAAATGTTTCACACCAGTGCTTCCCAAAGTTGGGCTTGGGACATTTGAAGCACCTTGAATAAACTCCATAAATCAATTTAAAGGGTAATAAAATAATTGCTGATGTAATATTTTCCCTATAATTATTACAAAAACCCAAAATTAGTAAAAATAAGTATTTATATTTGTGTACAAACTGTTTAGATTGTCAAAAAGCCTGTGTTTTTAGGGTTATTAACAGTTCTGTACTCAGACCAGTAATATTTGGGGTCATAAGTTTTTGCCATGAATATTTTGTGGGTCAGAAGACAAAAAGTTTGGGAACCACTGATTTAGACATCTTTGTAGACCAAGTTCTGACCCGGTGTGGACCTGGGCTGGGAGGCCTGATCAACCCCTAACTCTTAGAAGGATTCATATTGTTGTCTGTAGCCCACCCCTGTAGGTTCTTTAGTTGTATTTATTATTATACAACAACAATAACAACAACAACAATAACAACAATGATGATGATGATGATGATGATGATGATGATGATGATGATGATGATAAAAGATCGAATATTTTGGCAGTATTTTAGTTGTAAGAGATAAAATTCATCTTTCTGACTTGGTTTATAAAAAATGTTTTATTTCAGGCTTTGGTCAACAGACTGGTCAGAAAGTGAAACAGCTCTGATCCGCATCTGCAGGCGACCATGGGGTGGCACACCAAAACTAAAACCCATTACAGAAAGTTTAGGATGCTGTTATGAAATGAAAATTTGAAATCTATGGCAATATAAGACTTATTTTACAGTTAATATCACTGATTCTGTGACGTCCAGAGATCAGAAACTCTCCAACAGTCCAGTTCTCATGTGTTCTGTATAAACTGTCCTCAGCCTACATTATTCCATGTTTCACTGGCAGTCTGGCAGAGGTTTGATAATGTTAGAGGGGACACACTGGGGGTCCTTCCTCAGAAATCTGTCAATGAATAAGATGCCATTTGTTAGTGCTGGGTGAACTAATAATTTTTTGTAAAGGGTCCAAATAAATTTGTTTTTATATGTGAGGGAGACCCTTCCCCTTTACAAATAATTACTGTATGGGCTATTTGTCCTTTTATTAAAAAAAGTAAAAATATACATATTAAAGACATTTACAAGGAACATGCTCTCTGAATTTTAAAGCTATAAACACATCTATGTATTTTAAAGCAGTTTGATTTGCTTTTGTGAGCCAAAAACGGATTTTAAACGAAAGTTCAACTCTGGAAGACTCATAGCCTCACCTGCTCCTGCCGGCCTCCACGTCTCAAGTCCAGCCACGTCCAGTCAGCCTGACTGCCAGTGGATAAAAGCCTGTGGTCTCAATCGCCCTGTCTGCATGCCAGCTGACTGTCAACCACCACCCCTCCACCACCCCTCCTCTTCTGAGAACCAAGGGCCTCCCTCTCTTTAACCTCCACCACCAGTGTCAGGCCCCCGCAGGAAGAAAACTCCTACTGTACCCCTAACTCAAAGCAACTCTTCACTCACTCAGCACTCGTCCTCTGCCGGGGTCCGAGCACCAAACTCTGAAGCCATTCATGTCAATAACCATGTCTGTCCATTCATGTCAATAACCATGTCGGTCCAGTCATGTCAATAACCATGTCGGTCCAGTCATGTCAATAACCATGTCGGTCCAGTCATGTCAATAACCATGTCGGTCCAGTCATGTCAATAACCATG